CATCTATTAAAAACAACAGAGGTAGTATATGCTCATCCATGTTGTTTCCAACACAGGCAACACAATTCTGTCCTGCACATTAGGTCATTACCAACAATTCCTCGAAACTCTTGAGTGTAGGGTAGAGCTTTTCGATGTAAACAACGCAGCCACGCAGGATCAAAATGATCAGCCTTGTTACCATAATGGTGGAGAGTTAGTATAAATTTTTTTGATAGAGAAACATTGTCAGCACGATGAACAATGTGGTAAACCAAGACATTGTCATAGGCATGCAGTGCTTCTTAACATGGCTCAGGTCCCCATTGATATCCCCATGTCTCATTCCATATGGTTATTCAGATCTTTAATAGGCCTCCCATTTTCATTATTATGCCATCATTATGCCGTGTGCAAAGAGCTCATAGAAATTGCTAGCAGACGGTGTATATATGGTGAGATGCACGTAGGTTAACTTCTGTGGCCTTGAGCACATATAAATAATCCAAAATTTGATACGCTATAAATGTATACATGCAATGTGATCACCATGCATCACTTTGAGTATCGTTCAATATATTAAAAGCTTTCATTATAGTCTCAGTCCTTTCAGCATTACTTGTGACTGTGTACATTAGAAGCAGATATAATAGTTATGACTAAATTAAACGCTGTACTCAAGGAGGTACTGTGACACTACGCACTTCATGTCGATTCTTGGTATATCTGATATCTGATATCTCATGCCTCAACATTAGAATTGGACTATAATGCATGAAAAGTTAACAATAAACTTCTCTAATACTCTAGTAAGTTCATCCAACCACTACTACAAAACAACACATTGATGTCGGTTGGAAACCATTCTTTGGTGTGGATTTGGAACCGCCACCGGTCAACGGTACAGATGAGACATCTTGTTAGTGTCGGTTCTAAAACTAGCACTAATAATACCTTATTTGTGCCGGTTCTAAGAATGGCACCTATATAGGTGCACCCTTTTTTTATTTTTTATTTTTGCAGGCACGAAAAAAGACCAAAAAAATATTTTGTATTTTACTAAGCATCTACACATGATCACAATTCGGTTCCCACAACTTACAAGATTTTCACACCATTTTCATGAGTACGGGGTTAGAAGGGTTTGAACATTTGTATCCTAACACCTAGAAACATTTGTTGTCTTGGAAGCAAATACTATTCTTTTTAGACTACTCTCATCTGAAACTTACAATCCATATTTAACACCATAGATGAGCTCAAACAAAAATTTTGTCACCTACAAAATTGTAGATCTCAATCCAAGATCGTTTAGAAATTTCAAAAATTTACTTAAATAGACCTGAGAACTTATAATACCTTTTGACATCCAAACAGCGTCAAATCAAAAGGTCATTAACTGTAAAGTTGTCAATCTCGTCAAGCTCTACAAACTTAATATAAAATTTATCCTCATCTGACTTTATATGAAAACTTAATATAAACATATGGATGGTATCATCATAGGTTCCCGTCTTTATTGTCAACAGATACCTACCAGCACATATGTAGCGTCCATATGTGCCAGCTCACAATAAAAACTAACACTTGTTATGCTGCATTCATATGTACTAATTTATTATAATAACTGGTACCTATTTGATATCCATAGGTACCATTTTATTATAAGAACCGTCACCTTTCTAGACACTATTGGTGCTGGTACTCCTCAGCTTCCGTCACCACTAGACGGGGCAGCGGAACGTTGGTGATCTGCCACCTGCCGGACAGCACTGCACCATCTCCAACTTCTCCATGCTATCCTGTTCCAATAGCGCCTCTTCTCACGGCTTCGCTTGCTGCTGATATGCCTCGACACAATTCATGCTCAGTGTTCCTTCTCCTTTGAAAAAATATAAAGCGAGCATATGTTTTAAGAAGTTAACATTGTTTTGAAACTTTTTGAGTTGCTATTACTAATAAGCTAACAACACATATATCTGTATTTAGTACCACACAATAGACTTTGTTGGATCTGTTCTAGAAAGCAGTTTCATATGTTATTTTCATAGTTGTTATTGATATGTTGTGAAAGAAAAGTTATCGTCAAAGTTTAACGTTGGAGACCGTTTCAGAAGCTAATATATCATTTTTTTCCTAAGTGGAGAGTAGGGACTAAAGTTAATATGGTCGTTAATTACACTGAAGTTGCATTTGGATTAGATAGTTGAGGGATAGGATTGTCAATGAGAGCATTAAATTAAGGAGCATAACTATTGGGCCTATAGAATTTTTGTCAACATGATGAACAATTGAGTGCTTACTAGTTATAACTATCGAGGTTTTTTCTCTGTTTTTTTGGGCTGGTACCTAGTACACAAGGAGAACGAGCACTAATAACGTCATTATCGAGGAGAACATGACATGATGACAACAATTGTTTGAGTAGTCCATCTTCTGCTAGGGACTTTCTTCACTTGTTTTTTTTATCAAACATAAATGGTTATTTTGCATTTCCACATTGTTTTCGTCCCACCATTTGTCACATCTAAGGAATTAGCCGTAGCCATATATTTTTTGCATAATATGTTTCTGCTATTAAATTTATTTTTAAGGATACGCAAAAATATCAGAAATTTCACATCTTCTTTAAGATAAGAGAAATCTATTGCATAATTTACATACACGTGTAATTCCAGTTTTGTGAGAAATACGGTAAAAGAAATTTCTCTTACAATACATTTGCTGAGCAGGAGAGCCATGCGTGGAGGCTGGGCAGCAGCATTGTCGATACAAGCTGGTGGCCGCCCAACCTGGAAGCTGAATCTGCGGGTTTGATATGCTCCTTCTCAGGGTTTTGCGAAATTTCTACAAACAACGTCGCGGTTGCAGTGACCAACTCGTAATTTATTTTCGGATGTCTCTTATTCCTAAAGGTTAAGGATCTTGGTGCCATTGCTTTTCTATTTCCTTTGCTTCTGCAGTGCCATTCGTTCGTTTTTGTGGAATGAAAATGGACACCAAGGCACCAAGCTACTATTACAATGGATATATGGTACATTCGGTATTGTAGTCATTGTTCCACACTCCATCTACAAACAGAGTTTGACGTTCCATATGGTTTATATGTACATGAATTTGTGGGGGTGGCAATTGATATGACAACATTGATGGCACTCAACTAATTATGCTAAACATGTGGTTAGTATAATTTTTTACCGAAACATCATCACATATATTAAATGGAGTATCAATTAATTGAAAGGTTAATCAGAAAAATATTAATCAGTTTATACGGGCATAAATATGAATTAATTAAAACCCTAGAAATTTAGGCTTCAGCTAAACCTCTTAATGTACAAATATTATTTGTTCAGCTAAACCCTAGATCTACCGAGACATGTCCAATACTCCCTCCATCGCAAGAAGAATCAACCTAGGAGAGGATGACCCTCCTAGGTTGATGTATGTGGACATAGGGGTGTCTACATACATTGTCCTAGGAGGGGTTCCTTTCTAGGTTGATTCTTTTTAGGACGGAGGGAGTATTGGACATGTCTCGATAGATCAGTAGAGCGCAAGATTGAGCAGGTTAGTCATTATTATTCCACAAATTGAGTAACATTTATAACAGTTTTTCTTACTTTATCTAGGAACTGTGGACGGAATGAATTTGAACTTCTGTCATTTATTTTATTTGTAAAAATCTCAAAAATAAACTTCATGGCAACTAAAATTCCTCTTCATCTCACTTACATATGCTATCTCCATATCTATAGAAACAGTGCTTTCCCCCAGTGCATGTTCAACGTCCATAAGGATAACTTGTCTGTACTTCTCTATGTAGGATGATCTCATGATTGATTGAGGAATTCTAATGTTGTCATCTACTGATAAAAAGCTTGGAGAAAGCCCTTGGGTTGTTTGAAATCATTAAGCCTCATCATTTCTATCCTGATGTCTCCTACTCTTGAGGCGCTACCTTCTTTAGTCCCGGTTGGTGGACTAAAGATTTCCCTCTTTAGTATTTGAACCGAGACTAAGATAGCGATCTTTAGTTCTGGATTTATAGTCCCGGTTGAAAAATCGGGACTACAAGAGGTTCTAAACCGAGAGTAAAGAGCATTTCTCCATCAGTAATCTATTGCACGCGTTTCTCCCTCCTAATTAAGGTTGGGCTTGGTAAACCGGCGATGCGAGGTTTCTGGGTGATGGGCAGCGTTGAGGACACATGCAATTTGCCTAGTGTCCAGTATCTGCGACCGCGTGTGAGCAGTTAAAATTTGCATGCAAGCCACATCCAACCTCTGTGTTTTTTCACACTCTTGATACTCTGAAAAATAGTTCAGGGATAGGAGTGTCAATGAGAGCACTTCAAGAGTGCAACTATTGAACCTATAGAATTTTTGTCAACATGATGATTTTACATCTTTGTCCACAATTCTGGCTTCTTGATCTATCTACTCTTACAAGCTTGTTCTTAGGAGCATTTCTACTGGTCAAAAATGCAAATTTATCACCATCATTTGCCACAACATGATATTGGGCATCATTTTCTCTGTCTTCTGGGCTGGTACCCTGGTACACAAAAAGATCGACCAATGATAATGCCATTATCTACGAGACCATGACATGATAACAATTGGTTGGTTAGTTTGTCATCTGCGCTAGGATCTTCCTTCATTTCTTGTTTATCCAACATAAATGGCTATTTTGCAAGATCGCATTGCTCTTGTTTGTTTTTTCTCATCTAAGGTATTAGGTTTACTTCGAAGGTATAATCATATGTATATATATATATATATACGTATATATATATATATATATATATATATATACACACGTCTATATATATATATAAGAAATTTGTGTGATGTTATAATTATTGGATTTAATAGTTAAAAACAACTTATTGTTATAAAAATACCCATATGATATCTGAAATACGTAATTTAGTTCGTAAAAAAATATGCGTTATCTTAGGGAGTATTGATTCGGCGTTAAATGAAAAAACGGCTAGATGAGCTTTTTTCGTGCGATAATTACTCTTAATAAAACTGGCGGCTATGTTTTTATTAGAAACCCTTTTTCATATACATCATATGCTTGGTATCCTTACTAATTAAAAAATTAACTTGGTATGACAACAAAATTTTGACTCAACAAATACATCCTCACAGTCTATATCATATGTTAATTTTTTGTTAGCGCTTGCTCCGGACATCGATTGCGGCGTGTCGTGGGGGTGGCCGCCGCTGTTCCTCCATATCCATCCGAGTCCGAGCTTGCCGCCGCAGAGGTCGCGCCGTGCGCGTACGGGCGGAACGGCGGCCAGATTCGCCGCCGCCTTGCCTCCTGCCCGCAGTTGCCCGTCACAGCCGCACCCACCGTCACCCGTGCAATATCCACGCCAGATCCACGCGCGTGGGGCGCGGAGCGGCAGCCAGATGCGCCGCCTCCTCACCCCCTACACGTAGTCACCAGTTGCCGCCGCGCTGGCAGCCGTGCCGTGCCGGATCCGCCGACGTCGTGCCCGCCTCTGATTAGCGATGGAGGTAGAGCTGCCGCGCCTCCAGCCCGCATCAGCCCGTCGTTGCCACGCCCGCAACCATGCCGTGCCGAAACCGCTGACGTTGCGCCCGCCGCAGCTCGGCGGTTCAGGTGGAGCCGCCGCGCCTCCCGCCCGCCAACGCTGCACCCGCAGTCGCCCGTCGCCACCGCGCACGCTGCCGATGCCGTGCCGGATCCGCCTCGTCACTCCTCATCATCCCCGAACCACCACCGCCGCTCCTCCTCGACGCCAGTTCTCCGCGTCCCTGAACCGTTGCCGCCGCCGCTCCTCCTCGACGCCAAGACGTCTGTTAGACAACAAATTTGCAATATAAAGAAGATGCAATTTTTTTCGGTAATACACCACAAAATGTAAACAAAACAAAAATCCATGAAATCAGTACTTATTTTGTACTATTGCACGCTTATTTACTTCAAAATGCTTCCAGTAATTAAACTATCGAAGAATTAACATATGGTTTTGCATCTTTACTGGAAAGCATATAGACAAGATTACCTAGAGCCTTGTTCATCAGGTGCTTGGACAAGTCACATTGCAGGTAGATGCGATGGAGATGACAATTTTCTTGTGAAAAGGGCGATATTTCCTCCAGCCTATTGTTCTCAGTGTTGAAGGCAAAGATCCAACCGTCTGGATCATCAGCCTTGATCTTGGTCATCATGTAAACAACATCGTCACAGTATAGATCCAATGTGGGAAATGAGCTCACAACATTGTTCAGGGCTAGCTTGTGCTCGTTGCAGTCAAAGATCTCAGGAAACAAACAAGCAACACATGAGTCGGCAGGCAAAAGGCTAGCAGAGTCAACAGTGCCGCACGGCTCCCATTGCCAATAATTATCTGAACGGATCTTCCTCTTGAACATGGTGGCCTCCCATCCACGGTTTAACTGTGCATCATTAGGATCCAAGTACGGAAATCCCATCTCGATGAACTTGAACCAGCCATCTCTACAGGTGACATCCCGGACCAGATCCACGCAAGGTCCATCGGGACTGCCTCCGGAGTCAACGTTGTTGATGGGCATCAATGGGGGCAGACGGATCAGGCTCACCTCGGGGCAGTTCCCGGGGACCGAGTCGAGCAGTAGGATGCTGTTCCGGAAATCAACCCAGGCCATTGATCCTCCTCGGACGACACACAACACCTTGGTGGGTAGGAAGAAAGGGTTGAACGCCTCCATGCCACGACCCAGCTTTGCGACCTTGTTGCTCCACCGCTTGGTCTTGCTCGAGAAGATATGGAGGTGGAACTTCATCCAGTCGTCGTCATGGAATCGCCATTCGGGGTCGACGACCAGACAGTGGTCGCCACAGGATAAGACGCCGGCGCGTCTGGATACAACGTCAAGCGGGTTGGGGCGCTGGATCAGGAGCTCGAGAGATGGCGTCCCGGGGCCCGACTTGTAGACGAACCAGTCGGTGACCATGCATCGGTCAGAGCGGTGGGGGAAGATGACACGTAGGAGGAGGAAGGCGCCGTCCGCGCCGGTGATGGAGGGCGGCGACATGGAGAACTCACCTGCCGTCAGGCCGGCGGGGCAGTGAACAAAGCAGCGGGTGAGGGCGGGTGGATCGGCGAACACGAAGGACACCTCGATGGGGTAGCCATCGCTCGACTTCGCCCGAGCGGTGGTCGCGTTGTCGTGGCAGCGGCCGGTGTGCGCAACAGTGTCGAGGAAGACCCAGTCAGGGAAGTCGCCGGAGCGCCGGGAGGAGGTAGCGGGTTGGGGCATGGCGAATCGGCGAGAGGCAGAGGCGGCGGCGAAAGACATACTGTATCGGATCGGGACAGGGGAGAAGATTGGATTTGGGGATTAGGGTTCCTCTCTCACGACTCGCTCTCGGGGTGGGCTCGGGGGTGTTTGCGCCCCGCTGCTGGATTCGTGTCGGTTGTCAAGCCCTGCCCAACTACGGCCCAAATACTACTCCTTCTTCTTCTTCTTCTTCTTCTTCTTCTTCTTTTTTTCCTTTTCTTTCTTAAAAAAAAGGAATAAGTTCACTTTACGTCCCTTAATTTGCCGCCGAGTCTGAAATTCGTCCCTGAACCGCAATATCAGACATGACCTCAACTCCTTAAACCAGTGCAAATAATGTCTCAAGGTGGTTCGGACGGCGGTTTCGGCCTACATGGCGCTGACTTGGCACTTAAAGTCCAAAAAAAGAAAGTTATAAAACTGGCCCTGATAGCACATCGAAAACCAAGCGTGGAAGATACGCCATAGGAGATCCAAACACGATAAAGACACCAAGGCACGATATTTGTTAACAAGGTTCAGCCGTAGCCTACATCTCCAGGGCACTGATCACAGGCGCCCCTCCCCGATCCAGCATATCACATCGTATCAGAGTTACAACTACTCACCACCCGATGCCGCCGGCAACCGCTCCCTCTCGCTATGTGTCGACCGTATTCCGATTGTATTGGGGTACGCCGTTACTAGGATCTACACGAAAATGCATTAAGCACACAAAAGTCAATGATTATACTGGTTCGGACCCCTCGAAAGGTAATAGCCATGTGCTCAAGGCCTCTGGAGGATTCTTTTGTACTTCCCCTCTCGGATGATGCATATGGTGGATTCTTATAGTTGGAGGAGTTGAGTCAGGAAGATATGATGCTTGGATTTTCATTTGGGGAACCGACACATATACAACCAAGAGGTTTTATAAGCTTAATTTCTCTGCCGTGCAACCTCCTAGACTCATGATCTGGCTGTGGAAAACCAAATGTGTCATGAAGATAAAAGTTTTTGCATGGTTTTTGTTCTGTGACAGGTTTAATACAAGAGATATGCTTGACAGAAGACACTATGCCAAAGAGGATGATGATCTCACATGTGCTTTATGTAATACACATCAGAGAGAAACAAGACTCCATCTCTTTTTCACATGTCCTTTCAGTGCTCGATGCTGGCAGCACCTAGGAATTCAATGGAATCACAACTTGGAATTCTTTCAGATGATTGTTCTGGCAAGACTCAGGTTTGCTTAGAGAGGCTTCCTTGAGGTTTTCTTTTTGGTATCATGGCATATTTCGAAGCAACGTAACGGATTTATCTTTCAGAACATTCAGCCATCATTTCAATCCTGGAAGTCACTTTTTTTGTTAAAGAAGTTCTTCTGCATATGTGCATAATGAAAGATCCCCTCAAGCAATCTATTTCTGATTGGTTACAAACCTTGTAGCTTTGTTGCTTTTCTTTTTTTTTCTTTCTCCCTAACCTTGTAAATACTTTTTGTGTTTTATAAAATTTACACTACTGGGCAAAGCCTTGGCAGTATTCCTAGTTAAAAAAAAGGTAATAGCCATACTCCAGTTTATACGAGTATATGGACAAACACCATAGAGATTACAATAGAGGAATAATAGAAGCTATCTAGATTACCGACTATAACCCGTCGAGAATGGCCCGGCGAGAGCCGTACTACTAAGAGAATCTCCAACACCCTCTCCATCCCACTCAACAAGCCATTCGGCTGGGCAAACTCCTTCCCTCAATGACCAAACTTTGTCAGCCTACTCTACTTGCCATCCGTGGGTCTCACGGCATATCGTTGCCGCACACCTCCACACCCACGGTGGCCTCCTGCTCACCGTTGCGCTAATGAAGTCACCGCTGTCGTCGTCATCATCATCGTCGTCTGCCGCCGCTGTTATCAGCGCCACATCCTGCGCTCCTCCCTCTACTCCGTCGTTGTGGCCTCCGAGGGCCTTCTCGCCGTCGTGGCCTCCCGCTCGACGTCACCCCCAACGAGGCTGCCACCGCCGTCGTTGTCTACTGCTTCGTCGTCAGGGCCACATCCCACGCATCTCCCTCGATTCTGGCACAGCAGCCTCTGAGCGCCTCCTCACCGATGTGGCCTCCATCACCCCACCCCTATGCGGCCTCCACCTCCTCCGCTCAGCGCGGATTTGGCTAGCAGTGTGGACTTGGGGACCGCCGCCTCCGCATCCTCTGACGTCGAGGAAGCCCGTGGCAACAACGGGGTTGGGGGTAGATGGGAGGGCGGCGAGCTCGAGCGCCACTGTGACCAAGGGATCAAAACACGTGTATACGGTAGGCTCATGGCTTATGATACACGGTGGGTTCAAGAACTCCCATCTGTCTTATGGGCCATACGCACTACACTGACTTCATCCAACAAAGAGATTGTCATGGTTACGGATAAGGCATACTGTCACGCCCAGAAATCCGGCAACCTGAATCTCAAGCAGATTGTGTATTAAATCCCTATCCAGGACTAGCCAGGGTACACAAATGGCAATTTGATACAGTTCCACGACTTACAAAAATAACAAAATAAAACTTATACGCAGCGGAAAAACTAAAGAACTGAACTTAATCTTCACGTCCAAAGCGAAGCTTCCTCCATAGACCACACAGGCAACCCTCGACAACCGGAACAAGCTCAATCCTCAGAGAACTCATGATCTGAACCAACTTCTGCTTCTGGGGTGGGGGAAAAATAAAGCAAGACTGAGTACCAACCACCATACTCAACAAGTCATACCAAGGGGAAGGTATGATGCAAGGATAATCAAGGAAATGGCTCATTGGATACTTTGCAATAAAAGCAGCATTTATAAAGAATAATTTGAAAGAAGTAAAAACAATATAAGTAATTAAGCAGTATTAACATCATTATTGTCCAACGCTAAATCCACGTTGCAACAATTAATTTGGAATAGTCTTTTCTTTAATAGGTTTAATTAGAATTAAATTTTGTAAAATTCGTGACTAATTCATATGAAGTTAGAGTGAGGCCGTTCAAGTCTATAAATTCATCCAAAATCACGATCTACATGTTTGTTTACTTTTTATGTACTGTTTATTTGGAGTTTCTTAGTCTTTTTCCTCGTTTTACGTATTAGCTATCGTTCCTGTCGTTTTGGAGGTTCACAAGTGTGTCGGAAGTGTTCCAGAAGATTAATTGAAGATCGATTATTGCAAGGCAAGTCACACAGATCCGAAACACAATTCCTTTGAGAATATTGATCCTATATTTAAATTCTCTATTTATTTCAATTGTGCATTTATTTTCGAATGTCATCGGGTGGTGTGAACCTAATCTTTGCTGTGGCCAATTTGCATTAATTACCCTATTCCTTGATACCTTGGGTTATAATTTGACTAGTTGGACTTATATATTGGTTCAGCTAGATATTAGTATAATTCCTTAGCCATGCTTAGAAACATTAGCACATGATTGGGATAACTAATGTTTCACTATTACTTAATGATGGATATTTAATGGTAGCTCACAATGGCTAATCGTGATTGATCAATTAATTAATATGACAATTAAAACTTGATAATAGTGGGTTGTGAGCACATGGTTTTGATGGTCGTGCTCATGACAGTTAAGGACCGGTTCGCGAGCATCGGTTGTGAAACATTAACCATGTCAACCACAAGCCAGTATGGGCAACGGCTTTACCTTTTGTATAGCATGGTTCATTGTGGGGCACCAGACTGAGAAGTGGCGGAGATAAGCCCACGGGGGTCGCTGGGGAGTCCATGCCTTGCTTTATAAGGGGGTGATTATGATCCAGGAACGGTGCACTGCTGTGAATTGTGTTATGCGGAGGGTATTGTCACAGCCTCTACTCGAGTACTTTCCAGTAAGGCGGCGCATGGTAGACATGATGTTGAGACTGTGTCTTGTGGGTACAGTGGTACCCCTCTAGCCAGAGTAAAACTATTCGAATAGCCGTGCACGCGGTTATGGGTGGGTCTATGTTGGTATTTCTTAACCTCACATATAGAATCCGCAAGTGCACGGAAAATACCGATGTAGCACTTCACCCGGGAGTATTCTCATGTATCGATTTCCATAGGGAACGTGTGTGCTAACTCTGGATCAGATTCATCCAAGGACACGAAGCTATAGATAGGCAAAGGATAGAGAGGTTTCACTCGTGAAAAACAATGTATACGGAAAGCTTAACTTTAATCCTAATGAGGTACTTCAGGCACTGGCTAGCTCGCTGCTCTTAGATATCGCTCTACTGCGCACCCGGACAGGAAGGACTTCAGTATCTTGAGGGCTGTCTTCAGTGTCTTGAGGGCTGTCACCACCTCTACACCCACCTCACACCTACTGTGGGATGCGGAGCAAACACCGGAAATCAACTACCTATACACCACATCTACGCAGTTAATTAGATGATGTTTCGGACGACTAATTTACAAAGAAAACAAGCCAAAACTTTTGTCTGAAACGACAAATAGAAGTGACCGGAGGTAGTATATTTCCAGCAATTTGGAACTACAAAAGGTGAGAACTCACCACCCCACTTAGCCTTCCTAATCTTCAAACTCCTCTAAAGAAATAGCGCGAATGAAGAGATTAGACAGGAGAGAAGGAAGCTCAGTAAAAGTGAATATGGATCCACTAATATCAAGATCATTCGAGTCCACTTCCTTTGCAGTCAAGTCTGAAAACATTTCTTTTCCAGATGCCTCATATTCATAAACGTTCTCCAATTTGCAAGCCCTGTGCCTTCCTCTGTTTATCTTTTTTTTTTAACCTCGCGGGGTGTATTTGTATTAGAGTAGGGGGAAAAGCTATACAATAGCCCCCAGTCCAGAGGGCTAGGAGGTTACAATAAGAAAGGAAAAAGAAAGCGGGTGTGGGGGGTGCAGCTACAAAGGAGGGGTGCGGCTGATGAGTCTAATTTACATAATGTCGGTTATGCTTCCATGGTTGTGAGTCGTTAGGCATTGAATGCCCTTTGCCCCGCTTACACGCCAGAGCCAGATCTCGTCTTCCTCTGTTTATCAGTGGTTGTGTAATGCATATGTACTACTAGTTTCATATTTGAACATATGACACTGTTGATTTATTCGGTTTCTGATGTGCAACTTTGAACATTATTTTTCTATGACAATAATATCTAAAAAAATGATCCTATTGTAAAACTAGTAGTATGTTTTTATTAATTTCTACAAAATTGATAAAAAAAATTCACTAACAAGCTACCAATTGTTGGACTATCAATGTCAGACATATTAGGATATGGATCCAGGAGTTCCTCTGCTGTCCATTGGAGCTAATCCTTTTACATGGGGATAACAATCGCGCACTAGAAAGGAAACGCATCATGTTTCTATTTTGAAATTGTTTGTTTCTCAATGCCTCATATTCCTAAATATCAGGTATGTTCTTCCATTTTATTGTTTGCATCATAGTAGTAGCCAAGGCGGGCGCGCGGTATATCTAGCTGTCGAGCTGTGTTGCTCAAGTCTGATGCTCAGTGGACTATATATACACAGAAACAGGGTGATAGGCACTGGTTGGTGATAATTTTAATTAATTCCATTGAAACATGTCATGTACGTAAGATTTCGTTTAAAGATAAGTGATCTAGGGCATAAGAGTAATGCAAAATCTCATCTCCTAATTTTGTAAGTTTGATTAAATTTATAAAAAAAACATAGTAGCATTTTGAACACAAAACAAACATATTAGCAAAATATATTCAAATGTTACATTTAAAGAAACTAAATTTGATGTTTTAGATGTTGCTAAAATTTTATATAAACTTGGTTGAATTTAATAAAGTTTAACTAGGAAAAAAGTCAAAGCGACTAATAATATAGAACAGAGGTAGTATGTACTTACACACATACTTGAAAATATACTCAATAGCCATATCTAGTATCCTGCATGATTCTGATTCAAAATGGACAATCTAGTTATAAAGGTGTGTTTTCTAAAGCATTTTCTCCCGAAACATATGTTTTTTCTCAGAAAATGCAAAACATAAGGGTTTAACGTTAGAAATTAGAATGTTAGATAGATACCTCAAAACCTGAACTTTTGTGAACTTCGTTCTTAAAAGAAAAGAGTTCGCATTCTCATACGCCATCTATTTTATTTCAACCATCATTTGCCTCTAACAGGAACTGTATGATTTTCTACTGACCACCATAATATATATAATTTATGTTCACTACGAAATTCTTTAGAGCTTCATGGAAAATCCATACCACACAGAGTTTGAAAGAGACATCCATTAAAAGAAATGACATGGAAGGACAGTGACGGTTCATTTGGTCTTATCCTTTTAACTTTTAACTGAAACTGAATATGGACCAGCTTCAACCATCGCAGTTCCACCAAATTTAGGAGAGGAAACGAAAATAGACGATGAATTTTCCTCGCAATATCTCCAGCAAATTGGAGCTACAAAAAAGATGAGCCACAGGAGGCAAGAGCTCACCACCCCACCTCGTCACTGTCGAAATCCATATAATGAGTAGCATTTGTTACTATCTCAAGTATTAGATTAGAAGGACATCTACCTTCTGTTCATTTTAAACACTGCAACTTGACAAAAAAAATTAATTCCCATATGTTTGCAAATTGCTAATTAATTAACATCTACTTGAATATTTGTGATTTGTCAATACTTATCAGCTCACTTCTAAAAGGATTAAACGCCGTACTGGCAGTGTACTCTTCCATCCAGATAAGATTATTCTAGTCCATGGTTATCATCCTACGGGGCTCTGACTATATCTAGCCGACCATTATCTGAAAATATAAGTTGCGTATCATGCTTATCACTGATCAGCATGACAGCATGTAGTATTTGACTTTGCACATGCTGCCTTGTCACTTCCCGGCCGGAAGGACTAGATTGCCTTTTGGAAAAGGCAAATATTAGCTAAAGATCAAGTTGACCTTTGTAATTTTGTCTTTTGGTTTCATGTAGGGTCTTCTTCCAAGAAGAAATCAGATATGTGCCCCAGGTCTCTTCCTTCCTCCATGACATATATCGAGATTAACCTTTCTTCAGTGATAATTTTTACGGTCCTTGAAAAAGTATCTCGAGGTACCTAAATTTTACCTAAAAAATTTGATACCTCAAGATACATAGTACCTAGAGATACTAAATTTTACAATAGAAAATGTGGTATATCCCGATACTTTCTCAATGATGGTAAAATTAACCTTTTTAAGTAGTTTTCCCCTGTTTTTCTCTACTATTCATGTCAAACATAACATGGCTTTATTCAGAGGTTGTGTAGATTTTTAGGCTGCGATAGTACCCAAGGTAAGACTCGAAACATGAGACACAAGACAAGACATGACAATGACATTTGAGTAAAACTAAATATAGAACCAGAAAAATCGGTTGATACATTGACTACGGAACCATATCATTTGGGTGCAGTTGCTCTGCCGTGCAACACTCCAACCACGTACAGGGAGGTTCAGGTGTTTAAACAAACATGCCGATCATGCAAGGTAACTGACAAAATGTGTTGCTAAGCAATATGAGGGTGCAAAGGTTCTATTTCTTGATGTCTCACATTCCTATATGTTCTCCAATTTGTAAATCCAACCATTCCTTCCATTTATCATTAGCTACATAATGCATATCTACCAATCAAATGCATAATACTGAACTCTGAAGGTGATGACATATCTCTAGTTGCTGATGGTCAAGCCTGGCACTCACTGAACTATGTATATATATTGTATATATACACAAGCATAGCCAACCTGGTGTGCTTGGTTTGGTTGGTGATAAGTTTAATTCCATTGAAGCATTTGAATGCATATCATGTACGTAACATTTGAATCCATACCACAAAGAGTTTGACAGGGACATCCAATTTATAAAAGAAAAAAAAATGTCAGTGAGGAACAGTGACTTCTCATTTTGGTCATATATATCCTTCAGCTTTGTACTGAAACTGAATCTGGACCAGGCAAACGTATGACCATCGCAGTTCCACCAATTTAGGAGAGGAGAAAAGACGGCGAAATTTCATTTCAATACATATCTCCAGCAAATTGGAGCTATAAAAACGATAGCCAGGAGCTCACCACCCTACTTGCTCTTCCTAACCTTCCAAAACTCTGAAGAGTTTCTCCATTATCGTTGGCTTGTTACGCTCCAAAGCTTTCAACATTCCAGACTCCAGCCAAAATTTCCATATTATTCCAGGTAAATGTTAATCCCTGTGTTTACCATACCCGTGCTAGCTTAATCTTGTCTAATTTCGGGGTAGAATTGACCGTTCTCTGACCTAGGGGATAAGGAGAAAAAAAAAACAAGCTTTCTAGTGTTCTTCAGGCTTGTTGCTGTGAGTTCTTGTTTGATCGTTTCGCTCAGCACACCATTTTGTTTGATTTTGAAGCCTTTGAATGGATCGAGTTTTTTGGTTTCCAAAGATGCATTTCTTTTTCTCTTCTCTGCAGATGGTTCTTAGCCCTGCAAAATAATTCTCGTTTCGTCAATCGTCGTGGCGATTAGTTGTTAGTTTTCGCTGCTATTTGGATGTGGAAGAGGGAATGGTTTTTTACCATATATGAGATGCAGGGCATAACGAACTGGAACTTAAATTTTGATCATTTTGTTTAGTTCAAAAAACATATGTGGTTTTGTTGGTTATGTTTTCGATTTTATCAGCGAGAGAAGATGCCCTGACGATCTGATTCTCAAGGTCTTAGGCTACGAGGCTTCCTTTTTAATTTGTGATTGATTGTATAGGCTTTGAAGTATCAAAAATTATTTAACATCTATGTAATGTAACCACCAAACTGTGGTGTTTTCTCTACTCCTCTTTAAGTGAATGGCTTGACAAATGTTATCCTTAGAAGAAACGTAATATGTTCATTAGATTAGCATGAACTAGCATTCTAGGAAAACCATTCTAGTAGTATGTTTTATGGTGTAAATTGTTAATTACTCCTAGTCCCTAAAGGCTTTGACATGAATACAATCAGTAAAGCATCATGGTGAGCAAAGAAATTTCTAGCGTACTCCCTCCGTCCCGTAAAAAACGAATCTAGAACTAGATATGACATATTCTAATACTACGAATCTGGAACATATGTATACCCAGATTCGTAAGACTAGATATGTCACATCCGGTATTAAGTTGATTTTTTATGTAACAGATGGAGTATGTGCTAACGATATCCTAACAATCAAAAATGGTAAAAAAAAATATATTTATTAATTTAACTATCCACTGTCAACTTCAATGTGACGCTGAAAAAAATTAAAAGTACGAAATTTTGAAACAATAATATTATTATATTAGTTTTATGAAAATGATATCGGTATATCATGTCTAGAACTTCCAGCTCATGAGCTTTAACTGCCTATTGTTGGGTGATTTCTAATAAAAAATCACCCAGATTTTTTCAACTCTTAGATTTACATTTAACGGACTATAAAAGAAAAAAACAAATACATATTTACTTACACAACATTTTTATCAAAATTACAATGCGCTTACATGTCACATCAGCTGAATTTACAAATGTAATTTTAGTTTATATTTTATTTTAGTTTCAAATATCTTAATTTTTCAACCGTTAAAGAAAATAATTTTTATTTAGAAAAGAAAGAGAGAGAGAGCGATAAGGAAGCGGAGAAAGCAAGAGCGAGAAAACGTCATCCGTGCTTATTTCTCCACTAATCTCGGCGCACGATTCTACGCCCAACAAAACGTTAAATATCATAGAAGAAATCACGATGTTTAGCAAAATCGTTTAAATATCATAGAAGAAGTGGCCCGATAGATGTTTCCTAACCGAACGGCCCCCCCCCCCCACCCAAAAAAAAAGCCCTGCTGCGACGTGCATTGGGCCTGCACGAGGCCCGTTTTGGCACGAAGCAGATGGGCCGTGCCGTCCCAGCCTGGCACGGCCCAAGTCCAAAAGGCCTACGGAGCTCGGACTTCTCTCGTACGCCTCGTGAAATCGCCGGCGCCACTGCCGCAAACCCTACTTCCGATCCGCCCCCGCCGCCGCCGCAAACCATACTTCCGCCGCCTCGCGCCGTCGCCATGCCGCCCACCACACCGGCCAAGCCCGTCCCCGGCCGGCGTCCGCCTCGCGACGTCGGACCCCCTCCCCCAAGGCTGCCTTTCGAGGGCAGCCTGGGCCATACACCCCTAACCCACCCTCACCACCACACACACACGGTAAGTCTGTTAGGTTTTCGATCTAGAGTTTGCTGCCAATTACAAAGAAACTACACTGGATAGATGTTGTCTACTTTGTCTGTGCCAACTGCGGCATACTCTGTGTGTCTTGATGATAAATTGTATTGTATATGTAGTAGTAGCTTATTCTGAGTAATGTGTGTTAGTATTATTGATTTGCCTGCAAGCTGCTGTGGTGTGGTGGTACCCATCCCATGTAAGACTGTTCTTCTGTTTAGAGCTGTGCCGGCACTGTTCGAAGACTTGCGCGATGTCGGTAGCTCACGTAAACTTTGGTGCGTTGTGCTTTCGCGCTTGCTTACGTTTGTTGTTGCTTCTTGAGTCAACGAAGCTACGGTTTCGCTTCGTATAGCAAGTTTAGTGTACTTGTAAATTGTAATCCCTACCATTCATGCACTGATCTTGATCACAGACTTCGGAATTTTGGAAAGGTTCTGTTGGGTTTCAGTCTCGTGTGTTGTTGTGCCATCCGGTGTTGTTAGTCCTTGGAACTGTTGCTTTTTTTCTCAATCGGTGTTACAATCTTTATGGCTCATTGCATGAAACTTTGTGATGTATAACCCTGCTTTTTCTTTTTTAACTAGTCAAGTGCCTGCGACAGGTTCAACTTTGAAGTACACCGTACATATTTGTGCACGAGGAATCTCACTACTGAAATGTGGTCAGATGTTCAAAAAGGTCCATGTCAACAAAAAAAGCATCACTGAACATCAGATAGATTGATGGTTTACATTTCATATATGTACCAACTAGACAGCATACAAATATAAGGAGTCATCGTATTGTTTACCTTTGCTTTAATACATATTCATAGTTTGATCACAGACTCAGAATTGATATACTGAAAGCTAAACAATCGGAAGTGTCAGGAGGCTATATATGAAAGTTAAGGTAAATATGATGAAATCAATGAGTATTTTATGGCCTTAATGATGCACAATAAGAGGAAAATTAATGTTTCTCCATTCTTGCCTTGATGAATTGTAAGCATCTGTAGGCTCATTTAAAAGCACCTGGCATAGAACATCCAACACATGAGCTCTTGTCGGCTCTGAGATCTAATTTAGACTCTTATAATAATTATTGCTGCCCCTACGTAATAAACAGAGTGTATTTATAATAGTCCTTAACTCATACCAGATAGAGATATTTGGTCAAATAAGTTCAATCTGAAATGATGGGGTTGCTTTGCTCACTACTCTCAGCAAGATTGTGATTCCACTAGACGCCACCATGATACACGTTGAGAAGCATGTTGTCCTGATACAAAAAATATGACCTACAAGTTGTATGTTAAAAATGTTCTGGGGATTATTTTGTATATTATTGTAAAACTGGTAGTATAGAAAAAGTAAGCAATATTATGCTTACTTTTTCTAAACTACCCATTTTATAATACTAAAATAAATCCCCGACCCATTTTTTCAAGTCATTTGTTCGTGTATGGGGCAATTATGCTTTGTGTCATATAACAAGGTGGTGTCTAGAAGAGTCACAATGTTGCTGCCTAGCAGCTACATTTGTGAGAGTTGGCAGCATGGCCTGTAACCCATACACTATTTTCAATTGAACTTCTTTGAATGCGATATCTCTATTTTGGCAAGGGTAAGAATTATTATGGATTCATCCATGTTTATTAAGTAGGGGCAGTATCTATTTTGGCGAGGATAAGGGTTATTATGGACTTACCCTGTTTATTGAGTAGGGGAAGTAAAATCTAGTTTAAGTTCTTTGAAATGAGCTTTTAGACTTAGTGATTCATTAAAGCAAATATAGCATGGAGAAACGTCAAACTTTCCCTTATTGCGCATCATCAAGGCGATGGACACACCTTGGTTTCACCCTTTTTTACCTTTCATATATAACCCCTGAATATTTCCGGTATTTTAGTTTCCTATATGTCAATTTTGATTCTCTGATCAATTTTTTTTATTTTAAAGCAGTGGTAATTGTATGATGACTCCCTATATTTGTATGATCTCCGGTTTATATATGATTTAATCTTCAATTTGTCTGATGTTTTTTAATACTTGTACTGTTATTTTGATTTTTGTAATTAATAATTTTATTTGAGAAAAACCGTACTCTAAAAAATTATCTCTTTAATTTTGTCCATGTAGGTAACTGGCTGTGATGAAAATGGAAACCACAGGTGGTTAATGGCTATCAAAATCGTATAGCCATTGGTACACTAATAATAACCTAAATGACGGATGCTAACATCCTATTTCTATCCAGCATAAATGGTATCCATTATTTTATTTAGATATTGAATGCCAAATGTGCAAGACAGGGACATGTTCTTACTTCATTAATAAGGAGATCAGGAGAATCCATTTTAAGGTCTTCCACCATCGGATGGCATTTGACACAGAAAAGATTAAGACAGAGAAATCTGAGCTGAAGAACCTCATTTTCGCATCATTCAGACCATTTTATCTGATGATCCCCGTTGGTGATGGATATCATGAATCCCCCTGCTAGGACAGCCGTGATACATAGCAACTAAGCAAGTGATAAAAGGGATCATTTAAGCTGTTTAGTGTTAACAAAACGAAGTGCTAAAGCCTAAAAGGTGCCCTGCTGCTGCTTGTGGCAATGCTAACACTTGTTGGAGCAAGAGAGCCATTTGTTAAAGCACAGACCAACCTCCCTGCTACAATGCAGCTGAAGTTTCCTACTAGAACCCAAGGTGATTCATACGGAGCACTGATACCTGGTTTGCCAGAAGACTTAGCGAAAGTATGCCTTGCCCTTGTCCCTCGGAGCTACTTCCCTGTCATGGGTGCAGTGTCCAAGAGTTGGATGTCATTCATTGGGAGCAAGGAGTTCATTGCTGTTAGGAAGGAGGTCGGGAGGCTTGAAGAGCGGATTTATGCCCTGATCACTGGAGATGGAGGAAAGGGACCCTATTGGGAGGTGCTGGGGAGCCTGGAGCAGCAGAATAGGATGCTTCCTCCTATGCCTGGACTGACTAAAGCTGGATTTAGTGTGGTTGTTCTTGATGGAAAGCTGCTTGTCATGGCTGGCTATGGTGTTGATTATGGAAAAGAATGTGTTTCTGATGAAGTTTATCAGTATGATGCTCGTCTGAACAGGTATGCTCGAGTCATTACAAGCATTTATTACAGTGCTCCTTTGTCTTCTTTTCTTACATCAGATGAATACTTCAAATTCTCATAGTAGCAATAGTTTCCCAAAAAACCTTGTACAGGTAATCCATTAGTGCCATGAGTTTTCTAAATACAGAGTAAAAAAATTTAAATAGGAACTTGATCATTGTAAGTTAAAATACAAAATTAACAAAACTAATTCATTCTGCTTAAAATACTCAGGTGGGCTGCACTGGCCAAGATGAACGTGGCCCGTCGTGACTTCGCATGTGCAGAGGTCAATGGTGCAGTATATGTTGCTGGTGGATTTGGTTCTGATGGCGATGGCTTGTCAAGTGTTGAAGTATATGATCCACAAAGAAACAAATGGACAATAATAGAGAGCCTTCGCAGACCAAGGTGGGGCTCCTTTGCCTGCAGCTTCAACGGCAAGCTCTACATCATGGGTGGCCGGTCAAGCTTCACCATTGGCAATTCCCGTTTCATTGACGTGTATGATCCCATTCTCCATTCCTGGACCGAGATCAAGAAGGGTTGTGTCATGGTCACCTCTCATGCTGTCATCAACAAAAGGCTGTTCTGCATCGAGTGGAAGAACCAGCGGTCACTCGCGATCTTCAACCCTTCAGACAGTTCATGGCAGAAGATCCCGGTGCCGCTTACCGGTAGCTCAGCCACTCTGTTCAGCCTTGGGGTGCTTGATGGGAAGCTGCTGCTGTTTTCCCAGGAGGAAGAGCCTGGGTATCAGACTCTGATGTATGATCCGACCGCGCCTGCGGGATCTGAATGGCACACGTCGACGCTCAAGCCATCAGGGCTGTGCTTATGCAGTGTGACCATTGAAAGTTGATGTCATCAGTAGGCATAGATTGTACTTCCTCCGTCCCATAAAAAACAAATCTAGAATTATATGTGACATATTCTAGTACAACGAACCTGGACGGAGTCACGTCCAATCTAGGTTTGTTTTCTGTGGGACAGAGGGAGTATATATTTCTTGCATTCTAGTGTCTATATGTTCTTCTGGAACTCTGTTTATATGTGATTCTCTGTTCAGATTATTCCTAGCCACAAGCATGCACTCAATTCGTCAGCTAGCTTGTGTGTTGGACCAAACATTTTGTGTAAAGATGCAGACATTTCACTTCCTGAATAATGTCAGATTTCTCTTGCTCCTTTATTTCACTTTGCAGTGAACTGACTTGTGGGTGTACTTGCACACTTCACTGTTCTGATGATACAAGATTCCATTTGCTACCCAGTGCTACTCTACACTAGAGGACCTACATCAACAAATGCTGTCAGGAAAAAGTTGCCGCAAATGCTTCAAAGCTCTCAAAGGTAAAAGAGGCATGTCTTTGAAGCAAACTAAAAGTTTTGATTTGCAATTACCAGCCCCAGCTTAGCTATCATTGAGTTTTACTGTAAAGGATACAGTAAAATGTACTACATCTAAGAACCTATAAGGACGCTGGGTTCAGACTTCAGAGACAACAAAGATAACCAATTATCAAATTGACCATAGTCGCATTAACTGAAAGTTGACAACAGCTATTTTGCAAATTGATCAAGAGCTTTTAAGAGTGGAGCAGTTGACAGCAGCTCCCTTTTTTATGTAAAAACAGTAAACCCAAGAAACAAATAGCAAAAATTCTGAGCATAATTTTGGAGCTTCTCTGCTAGTACTCAGTACAGTACTAACAATACTGCTCCAGCATTTGTCTGTTTCCTGCATTAGCAATAGGAGCAGCATTATTGCCAGCCAACGCCTGCCATGAGTAGAATAATTTGCCTAGTTGGTGATGGATCCCCACAAACTAGTATACCATCATCCAGATTGACCATGATGCATGGCTTCTAAGGATGATTTAATTAATTGAGCATAACCAACTACCTTACTGGAGTACTACTCTGGTGCTGAATTGTAATGTAATAATGGGAATGAACAAATGCACGTTGCAAGGACACCTATTTTTTTAAAAAAAACATTCCATTCTATTTTATGATAAAAGAAATTTCAACTCCTTTGTGGTTTGGCCGGAATGAAGAATATTCTTACTCACATGTCCGTCAAATCTTAGTGACTATCCTGTATGGATTTGGTGGTAATCATGGAACTTCTTTTTCAAGAATGTTTTGTGCTGTTTAAGGTGGAAATACACCAATTTCTCATTACAGAAGCTCATTCATATCAACTTTTATTCCATCCTAAATTTGCAAGAAGTAAATAAATTTTGGACCTTGAGCAGATTATCTCTAGGGAGTCAAAACAAGAGGAACCTTAGGTGACCAGGCATGTCAATAATAATAATAATGCAGGCAAAGAGGGGCCCAAGAAAGGTTCCTTGCTTGTACAAAAAGAATCAACTGGACATGGCAACAGTGTTACATGTTGATGGTCCAGCAAATATAGTCATATATCAACACATGCCAACAAAATCATCAATGACAATTAACAAGTAAACATGTATACTTTTTCCCTACATTATATTTGCATTGCTTGTTTTTTTACAGCACAATAAGCGGCCACTTCAAAACTTCTTTTTGTCGTTTCCAGCTGAAGCATTTCAGGGGTAAAAAGTATATATATTCCCCTCGCTGTCGTAAAAAGCAATTTTCACAGGAAGTAGAAAAACAAAATTCAACATCACAATGCTGCTAAAATTCAGCTAATCATTCTGCTCTTTTCTCTTCTTCCTGCAGCTCCTGAATTTGATCTTCCAAAAAGAGCTTGGGAAGCAGCCTCCCCTGGACTTGGATGCCCTGTTCGCCTTTGCGCCTTTCCTCGATGATTTCAGATACTCTTCAGCATGGACAGCGCCGTTCTCGATCTCGCTACCGACATCAGCGACGCTGTCATCGTCGTACTGCTGCTTCTCCTGGAGAAGTTCGAGGAGCCTCTGCTTCTTCTCGATCAGAGAAGGCTCCGATCTGTCCACCGATATTCGCCCCGCGAATGGTGACTGTCTCTGATGATCTGGGGTGGTGCCTCTTGATGGAGTGAAATCTGTAGAGTTCAGATAAACAGAAGGCAGTAATGTTAATGCTTTGGTAACAAACTCCAGTGATACAGCAGCATAATTTTGTTCACTTTTTTTTTGAGGAATTTTTTTTGGTACCTCCTCTCACACTGTGGAAATCATCTTCACTGTCGGAGTCTAACCAGGGTCTTGCCTCGAAGAACGATTCATCTTTGCTTCCTGGGACAGTCGATCAATTCAATAGTGAGGTAAATGTTTCAGCATTAGAATACCATAATGCATGGTCTTGTTTGCTGTCATAGCTGAATGCATTATCAAACAAAAGAGCATTGCAATTGAATATGGCACAAAATATTGCCTGCATTCCCCTAGAGATCAATTGAACTCTTAACTTTAATAGTCCTCAAAGAACTGTGACTTCAGTTTATTGCAAAGAATCTTCGAAGAAGAAACGCGTAAACAGAGTAAAATGAAGAAACATTGAACAACAGAGCCTATCAGATGTAATCAGATAAAAAGCACTTTTCTTCTATACTGTCCCTTGCCAGTTATTTGTCAGGAATCTGTACGAGTGATGCAAAATTCCACGAACACAGACAAGTTTTCCAACATGTACGAAAGAGAAAATAAATCCATTCTTAATCACCCCTGTTAGTATCAACAATCCATAATGTCCAAATGACACGATCCTGTTGTTAACTCCACATGTCCTAATTTCCAGGCCGTCGTCTTTGAAAACCCAATCCCACCACACAAGACACATTAAAATCCGCAAGAAATTAAGCACATCCAAGGGGTTAGAAAATCACTGTCCTGACACTAACATCAAGACTAGTACTACTACACATACCACCTCATCCCAAAACAAGAGAGCAATCAAGATCAAAAGAAGGAGCAAGGAATAAGGTGAACAATCCCAGCAAGGACATTGACATTTCACATTTGCAATCAGGTCGGGGCCCCCACGGCTCGTCGTGTCGGACTCGAAGCTGCCAATCTAATCTAATCTACCACATGGTTGGCAGAGTGGTGAGTACTTGGCCTGACGAACAGAGGCAGAGAGGCACGCGGTGGACGCCACGATGATGATAATTGACAAGAAAAGTTAGCAAGAAGATTTTGCAGCTGCACAGCACTGCCCCCTGATTGGTATCGCACCAAAACAAAATCAATTCGATGATGAATTGAAACGGGATTAATCAATTGCAAGAGGGGGGGATAAAAGTATTCGTTGCCTCGAGACGACTCAACTAACCCCACTAGTGGTGGTGAAGGAACTGAATTATTTTGCCATGTCGGTGCGGATGAGATGAGAATTTTCAACTAAAATAACTAATCCGGGTTTATCTTTATCACGGGGATGCGAGATTGCAAGAACAAGAACTCAAGGAGCAAGAAATTCCGCGGTGAATTTCGTGATGCCGTGGTTAATTAATTAATTAATTAATTGATAACAACAAGAACAACAATAACATAAGGAATCATCAAGAACTCAAGATCGTGCAGCGGAAGGAAGGGGAGAAGAGATCGAAGGGTGTTTTACGTGACGCACCATTCCTTGTGCTGTCCTGATCCGGGCTCTCGCCGGCGACGTCCGCCGCCCCTCCGCCGCCGGCAACAGGCGCCGCGAACTTGCCGGCGTTAGGAGGAGAAGAGGCCGGCCGGCTGCCGTCTCCCGCCGCCGCAGCCTTGTTGCGGAACCTGAACCTCATGTGGGCGCCCGCACCGCGAGATCGGAAAGCGAGAACGCGTTGCGGCGGCGGCGGTGGCGGTGGCGGTGGCGGTGGAGTGGAGAGGAGAGGAGAGGATGAGCAGGGGAGGCGAACGCGTAGCGGCGGAAGCGGAAGGCGGAGCGAAACACCAAAACCGTTGTTGGGTTGGGGGGAAGAAGAAGATGGTGGAATGCGGATGCGATGCGTGCGCGTGCATGCAGCGACCGTACTAGGCGCGGTACGTACCACGGTGGAAGCGGGACGACGCGCACCCCATGTCCCCATGGATGAACTGCACGTTTTGTTTGGGAGAGCTTCTGTTTCTAAAGCTGTGTTTAGTTCACACCAAAATTACAAGTTTTGGTTGAAATTGGAACGATGTGACGGAAAAGTTAGAAGTTTATGTGTGTAGGAAAGTTTTGATGCGATGAAAAGTTGGAAGTTTGAAGAATTATTTTAGAACTAAACATGGCGTAATTAGATAGAAGCTCTTCTGAACGGTTTTTTTTCGTTCAGATTGTGAGATGTTATAGCGGTACAATTTAGAAAATAAACTAGAAATTAAAATTAAAAAACTCGTTTTTTTTCATGTTCTCATAAGCTGATTATCAACTACTCCCTCCGTCCCAAGATATAAGGGCATGCACAATGGTTATCAATAGTGGTCTCTTAGTGTTGCTAATTAGGAATACTTGTTGACATGGAAGAAAGAGAAAGAGGAGCGATAAAACATCGTTGTTATACTACCTCCGTTTTTTAATAGATGACATCGTTGACTTTTTCTCATATGTTTGACCATTCGTCTTATTCAAAAAAAAATATATAATTATAATTTATTTTGTTATGAGTTGTTTTATCACTCATAGTACTTTAAGTATGATTTATATCTTATATATTTGCATAAAATTTTTGAATAAGACGAATGGTCAAACATGTGAGAAAAAATCAACGGCGTCATTTATTAAAAAATGGAGGGAGTACATAACAACGGCTTAACAATGACTCTTAATCACTATAATATGGAAATATGGTTGCATGAGGGTAAAAAATTGGAAAGAATATTAACAAAAGGAATATTTTCTGAGTTAATGATTAGAGTATTTGTTGTCTCAACTACTGTAAATACGCGGTCTATAAATAATCTTGTACTATTGTTTAACAGACCAATACTCGTCTCTACCATTGAACATGCCTTATAAGAACTTTTCGGATACATAATAGTACTATGATACATTATAGTACAACGAATCTGGACGTATCACATCCAATAAAAACGCTTATATTTAGAGACGAAGATAGTTGTTTCTTTAATTTTAAGCTCATCCAAACAACCCTATGTATACCGTCATCTCCTTAGGTGGTGTTTGGATCCAGGGTTAACTTTAGTCCCTGTCTTTACACACTAATTTAGAGTATTAAATATAGACTACTTACAAAACTAATTACATAAATAAAAGTTAATTCGCGAGACAAATTTTTTAAGCCTAATTAATCCATAATTAGAGAATGTTTACTGTAGCATCACATAGGCTAATCATGGATTAATTAGGCTCAATAGATTCGTCTCGTGAATTAGTCCAAGATTATGGATGAGTTTTATTAATAGTCTACGTTTAATATTTATAATTAGTATTCAAACATCCGATGTGATAGGGACTTAAAAGTTTTAGTCCCATCTAAACAGGGCCTTAGGCTGTGTTTAGTTGAGTCCAAAGTTTGGATTTTGGTTGAAATTGGAGATGATGTGACTGAAAAGTTGTGTGTGTATGACAGGTTGATGTGATGGAAAAGGACTGAAGTTTGGATCCGTGCGGGTATAAACTGTGTAACTGTGAAACGGTGAGATCTGGAATCTGGATGATGCTCCCTACATATCAAATAAGTTTAATTTCACTTGTCCCGTAAATACTAATAAAATAAAAAACTAAAATACCCTTATTTTATCAAATCAAATGATTCTTAATTTTATTTACTCCCAATATAATAATTCTCTACTTTCACAAACTCCGATGCAATGATTAGTTGAAAATAAAATTATTTTGGGACAAATGTGAGGAGCCAAAAATGAATTATTATTGAGACGGAGGAGTACAAATGTCCATAGCTCCCGATCTAAGATTTTTATGTTTTTCATTACACGGCACATCACTACATATGGAATACCATGCTCACATCCCCCGCTAATACGTCCCATAACTTATAATTTATGCTCTAATAGACGAAAATCAGAGGTACATTTTTCTTAATACTTATGGAAAATCTCATTTACATGTGTGTAATATTTTTGGGTGCCATAATTTGTATTCTGATGGAGGGAGTCATGCACCTATGAATCTATGGAGAGGGGCCTACAATTACACTGAAAACATTTGGATAAATTATTTTGTTATTAATTTTTATGATTATACGAAACAAGCGCGCGCGCACACCACTACACACGCAACACTACACTTTATCAAACTTTTTTTTGAAAGGGAACTGTGTCACTATTTTAGAGGAAACATAAAACTTTAAACCACTATAATTTAACAATTTAACAGTAAAATTTCATTTGGATCGGGATCTGAAGCTGTGTTTTTTTGTATAATACACAAGTTATATAAGTTTTATGTGTCAAATCAGGGAGTTAGTTACGTACTATCTCCAGTTTTTTTTTATAACGTAGTTGATTTTTTTTCTAATTTGTTTGACTACTCGTTTTCTCTACAAATATTCGTGTAAATAGTTAAATATATTATGTGTGTTTAAAGTAAAGTATTTAAATGACAGAGTAATAACTAAGTAATTGAATATGAATAAATATTGTTGTTAAAATTTAAGAAAATAAATCAAATGTTTATTATATTTGAAAATGGAGGGAGTGGTACGGTTGCTAAGATAAAAAAAAAAGAGAGACAAATATACAGAACACATTTAAAGTGGATAACTGATGAGGTGTCCTGCCATAATATTAGAAACTATTAAGAGCGGCGGGCTGGGCGAGCGCTGGGCGATGCCACGTCGGATAGGAACAGTGCGCTGGGTGGAATTTTTTCCAAAAAAGCCCTCCGATTTTCTATAATTACGTATATGCCCCACACGAACAGTATTTATGGAGGAGAATTCCCGGATAGGGACTTATATGTAAAAAGTTAAAGCGTAGGGACTTTTTCGCAAAATAACGCCCACTACTTAACTCCCCAAACCCGTCGCCGCACCCTTCTCCCTCTCGTCTCTCCCTCCCCCTCTCTCTCTCTCTTCCGCCGCCTCCGCCTTGCGCCGTCTCCGCCTCCCGCTCACGCCGCCGCATCCGCCTTCCGCTCGCGCCGCCGCTGCCGCCGTCGTCGCATCGGCGTCCCCGAACGCCTCCCCCAACCCTAGCCGCCTCCGCCGCTCACGCCCTCTCCTCCCTGTCCCTCTCCCACCGCCACCGCTCCGCGCCGCCGTCCCCGCCTCCGCCTCGCGCCGCCGCCGTCGTCATCTCCGCCTCCGCCGTGCGCCGACGTCTCCGCCTCCATGTCGCGCCGTCGCCGTCGTCATCTCCGTCTGCGCGTCGCGCCGCCGTCGTCGTCATCTCCACCTCCGCCGTCACATCCATTGCGTCCCCGTCGCCGCCTCCACCTCCGTTGCGCTCCGGTTCGGTCACCGCCATCGCCGCATTGCCGGATCTGGCGGGGGGTGGTCAAATCCGTGTCCCCCGACCATGGAAGGGGCGGCCTCGGGTGGAGCAGGTCGACGCTGGCCACGAAGGTGCAAAGCTTGGATGGAGCAGTTCGTGCAGCCGTCGCCATCCTCCTCCTCATCCCTCGAAGCCAAGGTAATAAAATCGTTGGATCCGGCAATGTAGTGGCCCGAGAAGGAAGGAGATGGCGCCTAGGTGGCCCATTGTTTTGTGTCAGATAGTTTTATGTTTGCCGGTTTAGTGAAAATTGAGATGATTCACCATTGGCTATGTCATGAAAAGAGTGTTTGTCTGTACCAAGCCATCATTTTTACTACCATAATTTGTAATAATTCCGTTCATATGATCAGGGACCATATCGGTTATGTTGATGTCCATAAATAAATTTCAAATTGATCAAATTTTAGGTTAGACATTAGGTTGAATAGAAACTATTCCGCCTAAATAAGCTATTACGTGCGTGTCGTTGATTTGATTTGTTTTGTCTGGTGTTTTTGGCTGATTGGTTTGTGATTGTTGTTTTTTAAGATCGGCATTATTGGTGAGTGTTCGTGAGCATACGATTGGATCTGGTTTTGTTCTTGTTATGTGGATTGGGCGTGGATTTGTGATACGGCTTTTGGTTTGGATGCTGCAGGGTTCGGCAAGCATCGGCGTTGCAGAGTGAGGATGTCGAGTTGGTCGCCATCAACGACTCCTTCATCACCGCTGAGTACATGGTACTGCCTTCTTCCCTCACCACCTTATTAATTACTTGTTAGTTGCTTTGAGCGTGTAAAATTGTATGCTCATTCCATGGGAATGATTTGTACAAATTAGATGTTATATGAAGTGGCTTACTATGCTCATCAATTGGGATTGATACTTAGTAGATTTGTCTAAATTTTTTAAGACTATGGATTTGTGATCTGCACTATTGTAGATTGCACTGTTGTTCTGTTCTGATGGAACACGGTGCACTCTATTTATAGTATGGATTCATAAATGCAATTCTTATATGCTTTGAATATCTGACTAAATATTTTGGTTGATCCATATAGTTGGGGTAATCTATTTTTTATCTGGCCATGCTATGGATACGTTGCTTGTATTGAAAATGAAATTTATTAGATTGCCATTTATATATACAGTTGTAATATCCATATCTAAGTTCTCTTGTAATCAGTTAATTCATTTGCATTGACGCACAGACAAGAACAAGACGCAGCACCGCGGAGCAAGCAGAGCAAGTGTTAGTAGCAAGAAGCAGTGACAATTCGGAGGCCATCGTTGGGAGCAGGAGGGAAAGAGAGAGAGAGAGAGAGAGAGAGAGAGAGAGAGTTGTTGTGGAGGAGAGAGAATCCAGGTGCAGGGAAGGGAAGGGTGGGCAGTGCCAAGATGGCAAGAAGAGGAGGAGGAGGAGGAGGAGGTTGGTGGGGGTGGGGGGGGGATCAATGGAGATGGAGAGCCCGCGGAGCCCGGAGGCGGAGATCGGGCACAGGGTGGAGGACCTGTGGGAGGTGGCGGAGCCGCAGCTGTCACCGTCCGAGAAGCTCAACTCCTGCTTCGAGGACATCACCGTCGCCTCCTTCCACCGCCCGCTTGGCTCGCAAGGTATGTAACTAACGCCTCTCCCTGCTTCTCTGTGAA